TGGCAGAGAGAGAGCCAAGGGACAGGGCCACGGGCAGGGCCAGGGGTGAGGGACAGGCAGGGCCATTGCAGGGCGACAGTGAAGGCACAGCCTGTGGCAGCAGCCTTTTGTGTCTATTCCTGGTTGCTGATTCCTGCTGGGGACCTGAGGGAGCCTCTGCAATCCCATCCATGGGGCACAATCTCCTCTGCAGAGCTTGACTCACTGCAGACTTTGCAGGGAAATCTGTGCTGGCAGCTGCATCCTGAGCCTGAAGGCAGTTTGTATCCCCGAGTGCTGATCCATCCTGGGGACCCAAGGGATCCTCTGCCATTCCATCCATGCAGCAGGAGTCACCCTCCTGCCCTTGACTCCGTGCAGAGGAACAAGTGCCATCTCTCTGTGTGAGAGAAGCCAGATGCTGCCCCCGGGCCATCAGAAGTGGTGCTGAAGCCTCTTTCAGCCCAGCCCTGGGTGCAGTTTTCTCATCTCCTCAGCGAGTGCCCGCTCCCCCAGTCAGCACTGACCAACCAGGGCGTTTGGCACACGTGGTTTGGTGGTTTGGAGAAACAGCCCCGGACTGGCAGGGGGCCAGAGAACCTTGAGGAACAGCCCTGGTGAGGTGCCCACGATGGCAGGGGGCCAGGGGATCGCTGCTCCACGGAACCGGCTGGAGCTCTGGGTGAACCTGAGCTGAAGGGCCTGTGACCTGTGGATGAGTCCAGGATGGAGCAGAGACCCCCCTGCAGCCCGGGAGGAGCCCACGCCGGGGCAAAGGATGCCCAAAGGAGGCTGAGAGCCCGTGGGAAGCCCCTGCAGAAGCGAGGGTGCAAAGCCCTGGTTTCCCAGGGTGTCCGAATTTGTTTTTGGAAGATTTTTTTTGGTCTAATCTTTATATTTTGGAGTATTCTTTAGCTGAATCTCTGCTTTTTGCAATTTGGGGGGGCAAAGGGTCTTCCTGCTGTTTCTGTGAGGGTTTTGCCTGAATCTCGTTGATTTGGGTTTTTCTGGGCTGAATCTTGGTGTTTTGGAGGTTTTTATGGTCACAGGATGCCTGGTGAGTTCTAGAGATGGACTTGGGCAGGAGGAACCCCCAAGCCAACACACTCAGCCCTTGTTTTCCCTTCCCATCAGGATTTGTCCTTCCCAAAGCTTGGGCGGATGGAGGAGGAGGCTGCGAGGAAGAGGAAGATGCCTTGGGCCCCCCAGGCAGGTGAGGAGGAAGTCAGTGTCCCTTTGGGCGAGTGTTGTGCGGGCTCTGTCAGCCGAGCATGGCCCCGGCTGCAGGACAACCCCGCTGCCGCCGTCCTGCCGGGGCCAGAGTTGGGGGGATGTCCTTGGCCTTCCCTGTGGGCCGGAGGCAAATCCCCTCCCTGTCCTTCTTGCTTCCTGCCCCAGGCCCCGAGCTGAGGACGGAGAGCCCGGAGAACAAATCCCCCCGTGAGACCCTGGTGGGAGAGGCCGTTTTGAAGGGCTCCCCGGCGCAGGAAGGCAGCGGGGAGGGAAAGGGCCGGAGATTCCCCCGCAGGAGGGAGTCCAAAACCAACCCAGTGTGCTCTGAGGAGGAAAGACCCAGCCTGTGCCGGGAAGGTGGCAGGAGCTTGAGCAGGAACTCCAAGGTCGTGGTCCCAAGGCAACCTCCCAGTAGAAAGGAGTCCTTCAGGTGCTTGGAATGTGGGAAGAGTTTCAGGAACAGCTCCCACCTGATCCGGCACCAGCAGATCCACACAGGGAAACGGCCCTACATGTGTAGGGAATGTGGGAAGAGCTTCAGAGACAACTTTGATCTCCTCAGCCACCAGCGCATCCACACTGGAGAACGGCCCTACACGTGTGAGGAATGTGGGAAGAGCTTCAGTGACAGCTCCAACCTCCGCATCCACCAGCACATTCACACTGGGGAACAACCCTACACGTGTGTGGAATGTGGGAAGAGCTTCAGGCAGAGCTCCACCCTCCGCTCCCACCAGCGCATCCACAGTGGGGAAAGGCCCTACAAGTGCTTGGAATGTGGGAAGAGGTTTATGACCAGCTCCAATCTCTACTCGCATGAGCGGACGCACACGGATGAGAGGCCCTTTCGCTGCACCGACTGCGGGAAGGGCTTCAACCAGAACTCCACCCTCGTCAGGCACCGGCGCATTCACACCGGGGAGAGGCCCTACAAGTGTGGGGAGTGTGGGAAGAGCTTCGCCCAGAGCTCTACCTTGACCTCACACCAACGGACCCACCTGTAAGGGAAGCCCTACCAGTGCCAATATATTGTGTGAGTGCAGGGCTTGAGGCATGTGGGATTGAGTGGACACAGAGAAAGAACTAACATTCCGAAGCATATCTGCTTCTGTCTCAATTAATAAACCCCAGAGTTTGACACATTAATAATATACATAGCAATTGTGATTTGACTATATATTGTGACTTGCATATGCACATGTGAGCATAAGGACATAGGAAATAAGTGTTGTAGTTTCTGCAGTTCTTGTGTTATGGGTGAGGGTAGAGAGGATTCGAGCTAAAAATTGTCTGAACGTTTTGAGAGTGCAGGGACATCTGTCTGACCATCACTAGGTATGCTTTGATTTGAAGGCAGAGCATGTTAAAGAATGCAATAACTTAAAGCCAGCTGCAGTCTTGAATTTTTGCTCTTTCAGCAATAACAGTAGCACTAATAATTACTAATAGTTAATGAGCTAACATGCAATAAATGTATCCGCTCATTTTGACATATGTGTCAGTTTAATATTTTTTAATGAATCAAAGCATTCATAACAGGAAATCTCCCTCAACCTCTGATTAAAATGTAACGTTGACTAAAGGATTCTAGAGGGGACTTAATTTTACTGACTGGTTTAACAGTTGTCACAGCTGTTGGAAGAAGGAAAGGCAATTGAAACACTCCAAAAAAAAGAGTGGAGGGAGAGTGGGAGTAGTTTAATAAATTTAAACATGGTCTCTGAATGCCAAACATAAAACATTGAGCAGATCTGTAACTCCAGAAAGCTGCTGTACACTATGTACTTTTGCCTTTTGTGGCTCACTGTGTTTCATTTGTTTGAACACTTAGCAGTTTCCCTACTTTCTCCATTAGAAAATGTGCAACAACCTTTAAATGTGCAACAAATTCAGCTGTTCACGTGCATAGAGTTTCATCTTAGAATGCAACTGATAGAATACTCAGCTGACAAGAAATAAAGGTTGTGTGGAATGGCTGTAACATTTCAAAAGTGGACACAGGTGTCACATCCTGTGAATGCTTCAGTGCAGTGAGGGTTGGTGTACGTATTTTATGTTTTTCTAACCGTTCTCATGTTGTGATGTGGGAACGGTGTGTGGAGTTCCCCTGCGAGTCTGTCTGGGTTATGTCTGTGCAGGGATGAACAGGAGTGTCTGTGTAGATTCACCTGCCTGTGTGTGTGTGTGCAGGGGGATTCTGTGCTAAACTTCAAAGTGTTTGTGTCAGTTTCACTCTTTAAAATATTTTGGCACAGCCTGTAATTGCTGAAGAGTTTTTTAGAAGTGTCTTTCATTTGTAAGGGGAGGAAAGGGGTGGACTGAAGGGCGCTTGTCTTTGTGGAGTGGGAAGCAGACGCGATTCCGCTCCACGGTTTCTCCGAGCTTTGAAGGTCTTTAACCTCGTGCATTTGTCTGATTAGACAGCTGTTTGCAGTTGTTCCTGAGACATAAAGCCCAAGTTGATATTCCAGCCATAAGCTCTGGGCTCTGTCCGTGTAGCCGGTGTGTTCGGTGGCACACGGCTCTGGGTGGTGCAGCAGCCCCCAAGCGTGGGTGAGCACCCAGACCCTGCCTGGGCTCTCCCAGGGCTCTCCCCTTGGGCACAGGCAGGCCCTGGTCCCTCCTTCCTTCCCTGTGTGCGCTCGTCGGGCTTTGCTCTTTTAGTTCTGACAGACTGCTGGCAAGTTTTAAATCCTGCAGAAAGTATAAAGGGTTTGTGCTGAAATGCCCCTCTAGCAGCTCTTCCTTTGCTGGGGCTTGTCCCTCTATTAGTGCTGGGTGCTCATTTTAATGTGTTTGTGGTTGTGCTCCTTTATTGACCCAGCCTGGTGCATTTCAGTGGTAATTAACCCATGTTATTAGCAAAGCCCTTGTGGATATCCTGTAATTTTCTGCAATGGCTGATCATTTTTTTCCATACTTTTCCCCCCTGTTTTTTCCTAAGGCACACTGTCCTTTTCTAATAGTCCTTAAGCTTTAACATTCCCCACAAATTTCTTTTAAGACTGAGGCAGATAGAAGGGCATCATCCCCATAGTTGCATAATAAAGAATAACTATTGTCTTAACAAACTGTTTTCAAAAATGCTAATGGGAAGCAAAACAACTGGCAGAATCTGTAGGGAACATTTTATTTAATTACTATTTTTGAAAACACATGCTTAACAATAAGAAAAGAGATAAGAATTTCCTTAGCTTTTTTTTATGTGTGTGTAGCTGCATTAGCTGTTGTGAATATTTTGAAGTTCATATTTTAATCAGATTTCAACTTAGTTAATAGCACTTTGGGCATTTAAAACTATTAAGCCTGCAGAAAAATACTTGTGCTTGCACTGCTGAGAAAAGATAAGGGCCACCTCATTAGCCAACCCTACTTTTGCAATTAGTTTCAAATACATGGTGCTGTTCATCAAATAGAGAAGGTAACTTGTCTATGATCATATTTATCAATACTTGAAGCCTACTTTGCTTAGAGTAGCTAAAAAATAGATGTCTATTCTCACAGCTATGTCAGTCCAAATGTTATGCTGCTAAGTTAAGATAGAAAAATTATGGTATAAAAATATAGATTATTCATGAATAAGTGACATGATTATTCATTTTACAGAATAGTTTTTAAAGGACTGACCCTTGACCTAATGAGAGGTTGCTTGCACCTCTGTGAAAGTGTAAGTAGGAATGAAAAAAGGCTTATTTGAACCTTTCAAGGGAATATATCTAATAAATATTTTTTTGCTTAGAATAAGTGGAAAGCACAGGATAAGTAGGAAAAGCAATATAGAAGGAATTCTTGCTCCTATTGAAGCCCAGAGTAGCCTCTGTCTATAAGATGAGCTTTGCTATGAATTCATTTTCACAGGAAATTCCTGGAGGGAAGAAACAATAAAATGCTGATCTGTTACAAGTGCATATGAGCCTCACGCTGCCAAGCTCTCTAGAGGAGATCTGGGATTGTGCCGGGCCAGTTTGTTCAGTTTTTATCTCTTTTCCATCCACTGGCCTTGTATTACATTGTCATTGTCCCAAAGCCCATGAGAGAGAAATGAATTGCATTTCTCGACGCGCACTGACAGTGAAATATTTCCCCTCTCTGTCTCCAGTCACACTTATATGCGTCATTGTGCAGGGGTGACACCAACAGTGGCTGCAGCTTGACATTCCCCTCCTTACCTGTTCTTTTCCATTTGTGGGTCGTCTCAGGCTCCAGGTCGGCAGTCACGCGTGCACAGTCAGATCTGGAGCAGCACGTCTGTGTGTGGGTTTGGTTTATATATTTGCATTTTCTGTGCAATCCTCTGTCTGTGCACAGCCAGTTTTGTGTTCCAGTACGTTTCTATCTGTGCCTGTGTGTGTGTTACAGGTATGTGGTGTATTTTTTTTAAGATTTTTTCATTCTAAGTAAATGAAAATAATATTTATTCATATTCCTGTAAGTTTTGGCTGTCAAGTGGAGAACTGTTTTTTCAGCTACATGTGTTCTTGGCTGTATTTACACCTACAACGTTTGCCGCTATGGTGTTGAAAGCAAGGTTTTGAAGCTAACACATCAGTTGCATTTAGAGTAAAGACTTGGGAGAAAGTGGGGGATAAACTGTGGAAAGAGTTTTATAAGGGTTCTAAGAATACTAAGGAAGTAGAAGGTTTACCTGCCACCTGGCATATATTGGTTGAAACTCTAAAAGACTGGCTTAATGAACAAGTTTCAGAAGGTATTCAGTTGCCTGAAACAGAGCCTCTGTCAGATACAGAAGGACTCGAAGGGGAGGAGGGAACTTCAATTGCTGCGGCATCACCGCCTGCTACCTCCCCCTCTGACAATGAACTGCTTCCTTTAGCAGATAAAAAAAGAAACAGTGTGGCGTTCGGATACACATACAAAAAAATATACCAAGAGTCTGGCTCTAAAAAACCCCGAAAGGTTTGAAAGTTCACTATCCTGCACCCCACAATCCAGTTAAAACACCTTGTAAATACAAATCCCCTACTGCTATAGTCCCTTACGGGTATAAGACACCTATGGAACTTGTAGAGGAATTTAAAGCTAAGCAAAGGCAAGCGTCCGCTGTTCCTCTGCCAGAGGAGGAGGAGGACGAGGACACTGATGAAAACAATGAGGATGCCCCCCCAGCAGATGATGCAGATGGAGGAAGCTGAAAATGCCTCTGTCCATAGTCGAGCCTTACAACCTGTCCATAAGGGCTCCCAGAGCCGAAAGACACGAACGCTATCTGATCCATGGACTTTGCCGGCAGTCACCACTGTCACAGTCATGCCACGTCATCCTAGAAAGTTTTGGGAGGCGGTGCGTGTACAAGCTGCAAAAAGGGGGGAATGGGAGTTGTTAGACAAGATCGGGCACCCCTCACAAGCTATGAAGGACGTTGCATTTGTTCCGGGAATAGAGCCAGGAGTAGAAGCTTATTCTGTTTTTAAGGCAGCTTCTAAATCTGGCAAGCAAGATGAACATTATGAATTTGCTTGGAAAGCTATTCAGGATTTGCAAATGTATGTGGCAAAATATGGTGTGAATTCTTCTGAAGTTATGCGTGTGATTCATGCAATTAATGCTGATTTGCTCGCTCCTTACGATATTGACCATCTAGCTCAAGTTTTATTTGAACCTGTACAATACGAAGTGTTTAATTCTAACTGGCAAAAACAGGCTGAAAGAGCAACTATGGAGAATATGAGACTCCCTCCAGGGGACCCCAGACTGGGTGTAGGAGTGGAAGCCTTATTGGGAAAAAATTGTTTTAGTAGCCCCGATTTACAGGCCCAGTGGGATCCTATTGTGTTACAACAATGTCAGCAGGTGGGAATGTTAGCTCTGACTAAAACTATGGAGCTTGCTTCCCCTCATCCTAGATATACAACAGTGAAACGAACCAAGGGAACCTTATTTAAAGTTTGTTGAACGTATTGCAGTTTCATTAGAGAAGCAGGTGGATGATGAAGTCCTGTGTCAGGCTCTCCTAAAGCAGTTTTCAAAAGATAATGCAAACGAAAATTGTCAGAAAATTATAGATGCATTGCCAGGAGACCCATCTGATATGGTATCTGCATGTTCCAAAGTGGGTACTGTAGATCACCAAATGACTGCCCTTGCTGCAATTTTGCATCCTACCCTGTGATGCTATAACTAATAGAGAAGGACACCTTAAGGCTAACTGCCCTGATAAAAGCAACAGGGAAAAGCCAAAGGTCTTACCTAATCCTCCTGGTATTCATTGTAACCGTTGTGGGAAGCTAGGGCACTTTGCTACACAATGTCGCTCTAAGTTTCGTGCCAATGCACAGCCTCTCCAGGGAAACGGGAAAGCCAGTGCGAGGAGGAGGCACCCTCAGACACAAGTACCTTCACTGCCACAGTACAACCCGTATGCAACCCCCTGATGCTCCCCACTGCTACCAGCTCACAGGGAAAACCAGCGGAGCAGCCAGTATGGATGTGTCCACCTCTGCAACAGTAACAATTTCTTCTACAGATGTTGTCAAGGTTCCCTTAGATGCAAAGGGACCTATCGGACGTGGACTGAGTGCTTTGTTAATCGGGTGCTCAAGTAGCACAATTTCTGGGATAATTGTACATGTTGCGGTAATTGATGTAAACTATACAGGACAAATCTGTGCCATGGTCTCTACCCCCTACCCTCCTGTTACTATTCCAAAAGGAACTCGAATTGCTCAAATTGTGCCTTTTGTGAGTTGTGTTCCCAGGGCAGAGAACCGGGAGAGACATGCTGGAGGATTTGGATCAACAGGACCTCCGCAAGTATTTTGGTCACAGACTATTTCACACAAACGTCCACAGATGACTTGTGAACTGCGTAATGGGAAAGCCTCACCTTCTGCTGTTAAGGTGACTGGATTACTCGATACCGGTGCTGATATAAGCATCATCTGCATGTATAATTGGCCAAGCCCTTGGCCTCTGGTGTCCTCTGATTCAGGTGTTGTGGGGCTGGGGGGAACTACACAGTGTTACATTGCAG